TACCTCCAAGGTAAATCTATTCAAATCTAAATCTATTTAATCTCGATTGAGACATGATAAGTTCGTCATGTTTAGGGTCTGGAATGGAATTTTGATGCAAGGAAGGGCGATGTTTTTTGCCGTTTCATGGACGGATCCAAGACGAATATATCCTACAATTGCTTAGAACGAAATATTAAACGCGGTTACGGCAACAAGGTATGTTTTTTTTCCAAAACTTTTCTATCACTGTAGACCACCCAGACCTTAGCTATAAAGAAATAACTAAGATAATAACTTCCTTCTTCTTTTTACCTCATTACTTACTCTTCAAATTTGACTTCTGAAATAGCTAGAATAGTATGGGAAGCGTGGACCATACATATTCTTGAGATCGTCAGAGGTTAACAAGGTTTCATTTAAATCTACGTTGCTGGCTGCGCGAATTCGCGCGCGGCAAAACTTCCGCGCGGCCATGGCAGCCACTGAAGACATAGCTTAGGATCTTCTTGTGGGAGGAGTTCTTCCAAAGTAAGGAATGACGAAAAGTGATCAAGAGTAGTGCATATTTTTATCTGAGTTCATCTACATATATTTTCATATACAAAGGTTGAGTTTTTCTGCATTCTTTACTTGAGCCAATTATCGCACAAGTGAGTTCTTAGAAATTCAGTTTGTTTTTGCATTTTCTACGGCTGTTCTTTGATTTGGAATTATACGTTTGGAGGCGGAGTGGTACCGTTTTTCCGGAAGGTACGCGGAACGCTTGCGAAGCACAACTTCTTCCTCTCCACCTTTCCATTTTGGGCCTTAAGCAAAGAGTTCTTCCCTGGATATGCTTAGGCAAAAAGCGCAGCATTATCTGGGCAAATGTGGTATTTTTCTATAGGCGTTTTCTTTTGTCGCCTTTCCGCCATATACCCGTTTTTTTTATTGGCCTATCTTTGTGCTGTAATACAACAGAAAGCCATTTTCGGAAGCTCTTCGGCTTTTTGAAATAACGAAAAGCCTTCCACACACACACTAGCTAAATAGACAGTATGAGCTCTTGACCTTCAGTTGGTTGAAGTTACAGACCAATGCTTAGATGTAGGTTCAGGTGAAGGTGAAATTTAGATAAAGTACAGTTAATTCTATGAACCACTTATTTTCTTAAAAATACTATTTATCAAGCTTTAATAAGTTGGTGAAGCACTTTCTTCTTTCTCATCGTCAGTTCTATCCACTAGGAACAGATTCTGCCACATATTGAAATTACTAAAATAAGTCCTCTGATTCACTGAAGATAAGATAATTGAATTTTCCACTATAGTGGAAGACGTTTAAAAAGGATGTTATCATGTAGACTTCAATGGCTGCGTGATAGAACTGCCGCCCGGTTGACAACGAACACTAGTGTTGACTTTTAACAGATATGGATGGATCTTATTTCGTAATCGTATCTTTCATCCAGTAATGCAGTTAAGTTATTAGAAGAAGTAAGGAGAACATTTAAAGAAGCACAGTGATGATGTTTCATCATTATCAACTCTATAGCAACTGTTTATACTGTTTGGGATTAGGAGAAATATGTAAATATGTTTTTTTTTTGAGATCAAGTTTCCGTGTTTAATACTAATCAAATATGTTATCATTCAGGTTGCCTACATTTGGGAAGGAAATGAGCCAAATGACAGTTTCAAAATTACCT